ATTTTTTTCTTTAATGTGACATTGCCATTATGATATAATCCTATATATATATAAGAGAAAAAAATCATTTTTGTTAGATACTTTAGTTGAGTCTATTCGTTAGAAAAGCTGGTAAATGGAAACTCAGAGAATCGAATCTATTCCTTATTATTGTGCAAGAATAAAACATTACCAGATATATACAAACTGGAAGTAATATATCCAAGAAATAGCGAAATGTAACAGCACAATTATGAATTTTGTAGTTCAGTTCATAACATTTACATTAGCTTGTCCGTGAAGAGCTGCAAATGACAGAGGAATACTGTATGAGAAATTCTATTAAACAATTATGATTAAACACATTTTAAACTCTTGACAAAGCTTTCAATTTCATTATTGAAAGGTAGCGCGCTACGCCCCCGTAATGGAGAAAGTATTCAGAGCATTCTTTTTTATTGCATCACAATATCATCAAAAGCAAAACACCTACAATGGTTAAGCACAAGTTGAGGATGCCACTTAAAAAGATTTATACTGAAATACCACATAATGATCTCGTAAAATGTAAGACCGGCCAAAACCCCTAGAATAAATAAGATTTTCCTGTTTGATTTTCCCCCGGTTAATGCCCTGCCTATTAGACATCGTCAGGTGGATGTACGTGGACAAACAGAAATGAAAACCTTTGCTTATTACTACCACTACTGTACTTACAAGAGGTTAAAAATGATTTATGCATGCTGTGAACCATGCCTCTATATATATATTTTAACTTTTGCATTAAACTCTTCATGAGGCATGTATTACTTCATTGTCTATTGTAATATTCTCTTTCCCACACTTGTTTAAATTAATACAAAACACTTTTGCTTAAGGCTGGTAACGATATGCCGCATTTAATTATCAAAAACCCTTTTTATTCTTCTTTGTATTCCTTATATTTCACTGGATGTTATTCATTTCGAGCGGCACCTCTTCTTTCTTTTTGCAGCACTTCCCAATGATTTCACATACACTTTCATAACCGTCCTTTAAATTTGCAAAAAGTATCAGAGCATCCCGTTTGAGCGCACCTAGATCCATAATAAAAACTATTGTAAATGTAACGGCAAATAATGCTATGCCGACGTAGCCAATATTTGACGCGCTTTTACGCCCATCAGCAGCGCTTTTCTTCTTTGACATAGTTGCTGCCAGTTGGTCGTTGTTAAGCTGAAAACAAAGAACGGCCACATGAAATATATATTTTTCTAAAGTGAGAAACATTCAATTTAAAAAAATTTTAAACCCAAATGGGCAAATTCCCAAATTGGGTTTTTTACCCCACTGAACACGAAAAAAAATTTTTTTTAAATTTTTAAAAATTATGAAAGCCGAAAAGTTTGGGTATTTTCTTTTTCATATGAATTTTCTTTTAATTAAGGGGACCCAAATCCCCTTCGTGTGAGTTTACTGAAGTTAAAATTTTCTAACAGAAGCAAAACTTTCACCTTTATTTTTTTTATAAACTACTAAAAAATCAAAACAAAAAAATTTTTTTTTTCGTCGTTTTTTCCTTTATGTTTATTTTTTTGTTGCAAAAAAATTTTGCTTCTTCAAACAATTTTTGGGCAAAATTGCTTTCCTTTTTAAAATTTCCCCAACCCCTGACCCTTTTCACGGGATGCCTCCCGCACGTCCCGGCATGTTTTTCTAAAAAAACCGGGTCAAACTGGTTTTTTATGACGTTGGAAAACCCAAAATGTTTAAAAAGCACCCTTAGGTTGCGCATGTCAGATGAAGAAAAAACCAACTTTTTTTATCATAATAAAATTTTATACCCCAATAAAATTTTAGATGAAATCAGCATTCAAGTAAAAACCCCCGAATTAAAAAAAAAAAAAAAACAGCATAATTTTTTAATTTAAAGTTTAATCCCAGATATTTAAAAATTTTAAAAGTAAAAATAAACTAAAGGGGTTTTGGTGAAGGCAAATTTTTACGGGTTAAAACCCTTAAAAGGGCTTGTGCCCAAATAAAATATACCTTTTCATGAAAGATGGTCAAGAAAAGAGTTTCCAAATTTAAAAAGTCCGGCCCTTTCCTTAAATTTTTGGGTAAAGGGCCCTTTAAAAAATGTTTGGGAAACAGAGCGATACGTATTCAGTTAACCCCCAAAAAATAAAAAAAATTAAAAAAAATACAAGGTTTAATTTTTGGGTATGTTGCCTTAGCATGACGTATTTTCATTTTTGAATGTCGACCTAACTTAAGTTTGTTTAAAGATATAAAAGTAAAAGCTACATTTTGTATATTGTATTAATCATCATGCTTTATACTAAAATCTACAGAAATTGAAAGTACAAAGTTCACCCATAAGCATTAATTTGGATTAAGTTATAATTGCATGTATGTACATATATATATATATTATATATATATATATATATATATATATATATATATATAATATATATATATATATATATTATATATATATAATCAACAATGTACGTACATGTACTTTCTTAAGTTAACATTTACCATAATTCCTTAGATTTTTAAAATTTACTTTGCATGAACGAAAAATAACTCATGTAGCTCAAGAAAATTTCTGTCAATATCTATCTGAAATAACCTTAAACGTTCAATTTATAAAGCTAGAAATGTGTCCATAGGACACGAGTTCCCCCACACCCCACTGTTTTGTCAATCTTTTGACTTTAGTTTAAATATGTTTAGGCTACATGTGCCACAATTTGAAAACTAAAAATCGTTTACTAAGTCAAGGGCAAAAACTCTAACAAAACTGAAAAAATCCACATGTAAAACCCCAGGTGCATAGCTTCACAGTGATGTTGATCATTATTCCTGTAAAGTTGATTGATTCTAACTCAAGCACTCGAGAAACAAATAACACAACATAATGGAACGGTTTTCACTAAGTCAAGAGCATTAAATTTGACAAAACAGAATAAATCCACAAGTGATACCCCAGGTGCACAACTTCACATGCTGAGCAACATTCCTGTAAAGTTTCATGACACTAGATTAAATGTTTTTTGAGTTACGTGAGACACAAGTTGAAAATCTTAAATATTTACGACGTCAAGGGCAATAACTCTAAAAATACTGAACATATCCACACAACTGCACATACTTATCAACATTCCTGTAAAGTTTCATGGCTCTATGTCAAATACTTTTTGAGCAACATGTAGAACAAGTTGAAAACTGCAAATATTTACTAAATTAAGGGTAAAACTCTTATGCACAACTTCACATGCTGAGCAACATTCCTGTAAAGTTTCATGACACTAGGTCAAATAATTTTTGAGATATGTACGACACAAGTTGAAAATTGTAAATGTTTGCTAAGTCAGGGGCAATAGCTCTAAAAATACTAAATATATCCACTTTAAAATACCCAAATGCACAACTTCACATGCTGATCAACATTTCTATAAAGTTTCATGACTCTTTTCCAATACTTTTAGAGCTACGTGCGACACAAAAGAGCGGGCGGACGGACGGAAGGACGGACGGACAAGGGTAAATCTAAATGCCCCCTACTAAAGTGGGGGCACAACTAGTGGGGCATTTTGTTTAAATTTAAGGCAGATCTATATTTTATCGTAAATATCCAATATCAAGTGTTGGTTTATAACCATTAAAAATAGTCAATCTGTTGAAATACATGTATATAGTCAATTCAACTCAATTCAACTCGGTATTTTCAACTTAGTAGCCAATTTAACTCGGTTATGAAATAATGACCATACTTGTTTTTAACAAATAACTTTGGTCAGTAATAGCTATACACATATACTGGTTGAAAACTAACATTATGCTTATAACCGCTAATCTTGTTTATTTCTACTTATTGAAAAATAACATTATGCTTATAACCGCTCATCTAGTTTATTTCTACTTATAGTGACCAGTTAGTAACAAGTTTCATTTTATGACGTCTTTAAGGTATTAGCACCCAAATGCATTTCCTCCGCTTTGAAGAGTATTCAAATAGGCTAGAATTATTGTTAACTACATTGAAAATGAGGTCCATGGGTTCAATGCCCAGAAGGTTCAACTTTTTTTCTTTCTTTTTTTCTTTTAACATTATTTATGTATCTCTCATGTCCCATATGGAAAGGAAAAAGTGTTTAATTTTGAATTTTTAATTTTTATAGGTATTTATTGGCTAAATTATGCTAAATCTAGTAATAAATATGGTACCTGATATTTTCAAAGTGTAATATAATCAAAACTAGACGGTAAAAGTATTTCATATTTTACAAGATCAACCAATATACTTTTTTTAAAAATTTAGGGAAACTTTAAAAACAGGCACTCATTTGGGTAAATTTTAAGAATTTTTTTAATTAGGCTCCCTAAGTAGAAAAATGGTCAAAAATGTGGTAAAAATGGGTTGGATAGGGTAACATTTTTTTCGGATTTCATAAATTTTAAGTATGTGGATTGTTAGCTGAATGGTACTATTTGTTTCTTACCAAAAATTCACGGGAAAACATTTTTCATTAGAATGTTATTGCAGATTATTTAAAGGTTCCTCATTTCTAAAAAAGGGCCCTCATAACATTCTAGCTTGAGTTCAGAAAAGTGGCCATAACTTGATTTCCGTACGGTAAATTTTGTTTAAATTTTGCATACAGGTGTACTTTAAGGTATACATCTGACCTATGATGTCAATTCTTTAGTTCCTGATAGTGCCCATTAGGGTCCTAATACCTTAACATCGCATTTAAACTTATTTTGTGTTAGTACGCCTTTCTTGGTGTTATAAGGCCGTTTTTTGCTTTCTTACGCATTTGTTTGCCTTATAACACCTTTATTAACGATACTGCAACTTTCTTTTCGCGTTATTACGCCTTCTGATTTGCATTATTACACTTTATTCTTATAACTTATTTTCTATATATTTTATTTCATTCAATTTAATGTTATTAGGCTTTCATTAGTATTATTTTAAAACATAGTTTTTGTAGAGAATTGAAACTAGTGACATATATAACACTCACCTGAAATTTTGTCACCACCGTAATCTTCCCCAAAGTCCCCATCAAGATCATTATCTGAAGATAAAATAAAAATTGCATAACAAATTTTATTTATTTTCGTAATGTAAACATAGATATAATTAAAATAAACCCATTCACATGTATTTATGTAACAAATGAAAGAAAAAGTGCGATAATTCTACAATACGGTATTATTTTTTTTCTCGCAAAATAGTTTTATGTCGAGTTTGTTGTTTTAATTATCATTATTTTTTCCATGCGCAGATTTCGATTTTTGCGTGCCCTCCTGGGATGCCCGTTGGCCGTCCTGTGTTACTAGTGTTTGTTGTTTGATACGCTCATTGAACACCGCCCTTCCTTCCATATATTTTTGGCCGTGTTAGCATCTTGTATATAAATATCAATTCAAATATTTGTAGTTTACACTTCTTTTATAAACTTTAATTAACACGAAAGCAAACGCATATCATAATTTTGAAAACACATCATTCTTATTAAGCATATGAATGTAATTAAGTTAATCAAGTACAAGACATCATAGACCATTGAATATAAATGTTTTTTTTATGAATATAACCCTCCATCCTTTACCTTCTTTATAAACCCCGTAAATATCACCATAGAAACCATCTTCATCTATCAAACCATCACAGTCATTGTCAACCCCATCACCGTGTGTCGAGTTTGATATTCTGCAGATATTCTTCTCTTGCTAAAATGCAAAATAATTTGCTTGATCTTTAAAAGTTATTACAATAAACAGATGTTTCAAACATTATGATGTCTACATCAGTAGTTTCTAAGATTTGGACCTGTGTATTTTTTTAAAAGGATACAATTTCTTTCAGATCACGATTTTTCGCGATGTTCACTCATTTTTAAAGTGTCATGTACATTCAACATAAATGCTAAGCCTAGTAAAAATCAGCGGCTATTAAATTGGTTCAAAGTATAAGGTATGTGATACTTAAAAACAAATCACTAAAATAATTAAATGGATGTTGTTTGCAATTGCATGATGCATGATCTGATTTTACTTATCTATAAAACAGACAATAAATTTTTCTAGCACAAAATAGCTTTCATTGTATAAATGAACATGTACATATACATGTTTTCATAAGAATAATTTAAAAGAATATCCAAATGTTTTTATCAATATTTGCAGTATTTATGGAAATTATGCCCATTAAGGACTGATAAAGTTTAACCTAGCTTATTAATATTCACGAAATTTCAAGGAAATTTCTAATTTGTAGTATTGAAATAATTGATTGACTATGGGTTCGAATACGAGGCAAACAACCTTTGACTGACGTCTTTTAAACTTTTATTTGTTGAATATTTCCCGAACTTTTAAAAGGAGAATACTGTAACAATATCAATAGCCACCATTGATTGGATAACCTGATACAGTTTAGTGGCATCACTATTGTCACCTTAGTTTTATTATATTCAATAAATTTTGATAACAGTTGTCACAGATATTTGCATGTAACATATATTATGTTTTTGGTTGGATTAAGTTGTACCGACACTATTTCCAAAGTTCAAATGACGTCTTTCCAGCTTATTGCAGTGGTGGATGACCTTAGCTGCCGCTCCGTGCTTTATTTCAGGCACGAGCGGACACCTGGATTTAAACTTTATTTTCTGTAAGATATAAAAAATAGAACCATTCCTTGAATGTTTTGTTCGGTCGTAACAGTATTAAATCTTTATATAAATGATCACAAAGGTAGTAATTATCCTTTAAATTATCAATCTATTTGTAGCTTTGTCGTATTATCTATCACATATAAAATATATCTAAATTTTTATTAAACAATATCAGATATAAGGTATAAGGAAATCAAAACTGTATTCCTCACTTGTGAAATGTGTTTTGCTTTTATATTTCCTGGAACGATTAGCCACCTTGTCGCTGAATGCAACATTGCAATTTCATATTTCGATTCGCCTGTACTTATTTTCTGTTCGAATAGTTCTGGGTGACTGTCTCTGCCTATCAACATTGTCTCATTTTTTACAACAAGATTTTGGTCGACAGAAAATGTCGAAAATTCTGTTTTTGTAGTATCCATATCAGAAAACAAAATTGCCGGGACTGATGTCAAAATAGTGTCGTGATGATTTTCAGTGGAAGGTAACAAACTGAATGTATATTTGCTGGAATCCTCCCTATCTTGTAGATATAATCCAACCGCGATATTTCCTACTGATGTTAAACGATATGGTACAGCTACGTCTATCTCTTGTTCAATCTTATCTCCTTTGCTATATATTGCATGTTTAGCATCAAAGCCGCCAGATATTGTCACAATATTGTTATCAGTATACGAAACGATGTGCAAAATGCCTTTAAACTGACGTTCATTTGATTCAATTTCAACGGCAGGGACAACGTATTTGTTAGACCATGTGTTAACCGGAAGGATACTACCAGGACTGTCTGCGAAATAACAAAACGCCATAGAAGGTTTATTAAAAATTAAACTGGTTCCAGAAATTTCATGTTGATTTTCCAACCCCAAAATACTTTTTTCCTTGACAGAACTGCTCTCAGAGTCTTTTAGACCTGCACTACTTAAAACACTACCTGAAAAGTATGCTGTTACTTTGACATCTACATGCTCAGATATAAACCTGCATTTTTTCTTGTCTGTTTTATTATGTGCCAAAAGCATGAACTCTGTACCAAATGTATCTACTGGGTATATTCTAGAGCTTTCAATTTGCGTATTATGTTCATCATAAACGTTATATACAACTACAGCAACATCGTCATCACTAATTATTTTAAAGTTGTGAATGTAAATGTTTGAACAGTTATAATATCTTCCGCCATCTTCACCATCTCCTCGTGCACTGGAAATGGATTCTTTAAGTGTTTGTTTATTGACGTATTTTTTTATGGTCACTCCAACGTGGGTATTTTCATTGAGTGGTGTTACTAAAATCAAGCATTTTTCAAATATCTTCAAAGGTAGTCTTACTAGGAATTTTCTACCATAGCTATCTGCAAAGCCTGTCATTACAGAAATAAATAAATAAATAAATAAATAAATAAATAAACGTATAAATAAATAAATAAAATATTAACGTGTCATAAATGTTAATCAATAAACGTGTCTGCAGTCTGTTAATTTTCATATAGTTACACATGTTTTTACTTGAACTTTAAATGTCAGCCTCGTACGGTACTCAAGTGTATGCAGTTTTCGCAAAATATGTCAACATTATTTTTGTCTTTTCTGACAGGTTGAGCGCAAAATGTTGATTGTATTTGATAAATAAATCATAGAAAATGTTACTTATGAATGAAACCGCTGAACTTAGCATGTAAACTCGTTTTTAATGTTTTGAATATCACACCTGTTTTGCCACCGACTAGCACTCGCATAGCAACACTGGATGATGTACTTTCTGATAAAGTTCTAAACCTAGATTTTAAGATGTATCATCGTATTCCTGCTAGAAAACGTTATATTTTTGTGTGTGTTTTATTGTCCTATAGGTTTACAGTACATTTTATTTACCAGAAGCTTATTTTTTTACCCTACCAAACATATAAGGACCCCACAAAAACAGTATAGCAACCTTCCCCTTGAAAACCCGGGGAGATTTTTATGGACCCTAAAAGATATCCGTGGAGCGTTCTTTCAAACAGTCGTATAATGTGTGGGGTCTGTGGCAAATAAATAGCAGGTCTGCTTTCATTCGGGGTCGTCCAGCTTCGAAATTCTTAAATGCACATCGAATTTTGATAGTTTCACTGCATTTTAAAATGTGTGAATTAAATTTGTGGTGTAAAGTTAATATCTTCTTAGAATTGCAGAAACTATAAATCATATCTTTATTGCATCTTCTTAATGTTTCGATATATATGTTTTCTATGCAATTGAAAGATGCGCGTCATTTTTGTTTGGTTTCGTCGCGACTGTTCGTCGTGTTTAATGGCCTAATTTTGTTGATAAAATGTCATGTATTTAAATTACTGATCTTTTGTATTTTTTTGTAAGTTTATGAACTGATTGTGAAATAATAATCAAATAACAATAAATTTGTCAACACTAGAAATATTGTTTTCTTCATGTTCAGTTACGGTGTTTCCTAAGATTTCTTTTTATAGTATACTAATCTTATAGTTGTAATTCGAAACATTAAGAAGCGGCCACCCTACCAAACGGCCCTACTACAGTCACCGTGAGCAGCTTGAACTAGAGCAGCCTATGTTTGAGACGGATTACTGAACAGTTCACACTGCCATGTTATTAACAATCTGCAGAGCCCTATTAAAATAGATATTGACAGCTCACAGAAACATGTCTTGCAAGAGGGAGCCTACCAGATCACAGTTACAGGTCATTACATTTCTTAATGCACATCATAAAAAGAAAAGCTTACACTGACATGACCTCAATAAACCATAGGTTTAGTAGGTGCACATCGAATTTTGATAGTTTCACTGCATTTTAAAATGTGTGAATTAAATTTGTGGTGTAAAGTTAATATCTTCTTAGAATTGCAGAAACTATAAATCATATCTTTATTGCATCTTCTTAATGTTTCGATATATATGTTTTCTATGCAATTGAAAGATGCGCGTCATTTTTGTTTGGTTTCGTCGCGACTGTTCGTCGTGTTTAATGGCCTAATTTTGTTGATAAAATGTCATGTATTTAAATTACTGATCTTTTGTATTTTTTTGTAAGTTTATGAACTGATTGTGAAATAATAATCAAATAACAATAAATTTGTCAACACTAGAAATATTGTTTTCTTCATGTTCAGTTACGGTGTTTTCCTAAGATTTCTTTTATAGTATACTAATCTTATAGTTGTAATTCGAAACATTAAGAAGCGGCCACCCTACCAAACGGCCCTACTACAGTCACCGTGAGCAGCTTGAACTAGAGCAGCCTATGTTTGAGACGGATTACTGAACAGTTCACACTGCCATGTTATTAACAATCTGCAGAGCCCTATTAAAATAGATATTGACAGCTCACAGAAACATGTCTTGCAAGAGGGAGCCTACCAGATCACAGTTACAGAACATTACATTTCTTAATGCACATCATTAAAAAGAAAAGCTTACACTGACATGACCTCAATAAACCAAATGACTTCAGGAAATTAAAATTACTTCTATGCATTTCAACATACTGTTATAAATAAGCATGTTAAATGGAAATCAATTTTCCTTGCATTATAGTATATTCTAACACGACCCGCATTTTTCCCTATTGAACATAGAAGAACCGAAAGTGTGTGTTATTATGCTATAAAGTCACTGTTTGACGTTCTATATTTAGACATGTGACATAATCATTATACACGTGACATAACCACTAAAAATGTGACGCGTTGACAATAAGTACGGAAACAAATCAGGCGCAATTTAGCTTAATATCAGGTACGGCAGCATTTATTTGTTGATGTCGTGTTAGAATCGAAATAATATATCCAAATCGGTGATTTTATTGCTTGATAAAATCACTGTTTGTCGTTCGGATGCGCATCATTATATCACTCGGGCTACGCCCTCGTGATATACTTCCCCGCATCCGAACTCCAAACAGTGATGTTATTGAGCAATAAAGTCACAATTTGGGACATATTATTTTTTTAAGTAATGCATGGTTTATCGTTCAAATGCTTTGTACATAATCACTCAGGCTTTTCGACGATCATAATTATAATTCTAGACGAATTTTAACACGAACTGCGCATTATTCGACAACATTGCACTAAAATTGACATATATTTCCTAAATGAATAGTCAATTTCATATCTATCAACCTTCATGTGTTTAAGAAAAAAAAATCAAGTAAGAAACAAAAGGTAATAACTGTAAAGTAATGAAGTGTAAAGTTTTTATTCTGCTTTGCACTCTATTTAATGGGTTTAAACTTAAATACACCATTTGGGATTTAATCCTAACAAAGAGAAAGCAAATTATAGAGAAAGGGGAAAACTCAACATATTATGAAATAAATATATATTTTTTATACACACAACTCCTCTTTCATCGTTAAAGTTTCAAGTTGATTTCGCAAATTTATCAGTTATGGTCCGGGAAAAACAAGCAATTATCATAGTATTGCAAGCAATCCATAAGTCCCTACCGGTTAGAACCCCAGCAACATTCTGATGGGCCATTTGCCTTGCAATTTTACCAGTGAATGAATGACATGAATGAACTTAAATCTTTTGAGTTCTAAGTTTGTCTATATCACAGTAATGTGTTAAGTTTCCCTGTCTAGTAAGGAAATTATGTTTATGCAACCTTGTCATATTATTACGATGTGGGATTTTAAAGTAAATCATGGAAGTTGGAGTAAAAAATACAAATTTCTCGAAAAAAATCTAAGTTCAAGGGGGACATAATTCTGGAAATAGTCTTGCTAGAGTATTAAACCTTCTCAAAAATGTTGAGTGATAATAAGAAACATATATATGAAGTTTGAAGTAGAAACATTAGGAAATAAAGAAGTTATTTAAAAAAGACATTTTTTTTTCATAAAAATTCTAAGTTCAAGGGAGGTAATACTGATAATTTTTGTGCTAGAGTTGTAGACCTTGTCACATATGATGTGGTTGATGACCAGAAACTTATATTTAAAGTTTGAAGTAAACACCTTAAGAAATAAAGAACTTATAGTGAAAAAGCTAAAAAATTTAAATCAGAAATCTTGAAATTCAGGCTATTTGTTGCCATAGCAAACAGAATTTTCAACATAGGAAGAAAAGAAAAAGATGTGCATAATTTCCAGACTGCCATCTACCCATATTTCAAGTTTCATAAAAATATTTTCAGTACTTTTTGAGTTATCACTGGATCCAGTTTATGTGTTAAATTTGCCATATTTTCAGACTATTTGTTGCCACAACAACCAGAATTTTCAACATAGGAAGAAAAAAAAAGACGTGCATAATCTCCATGCTGCCATCTATCCATATATCAAGTTTCATAAAAATATTTTCAGTACTTTTTGCATTATCGCGGGATCCAGTTTTGCGGACGGACGGACTGACAGACAGACAGACGGACAGACAAATGGACAGACGGACGGAGGGTAAACTTAAAGTCCCCTCCGGTTAAACCGGTAGGGGACTAATAAGTATATAAATAGCAAAGGATACTATCTCCATAACTTAGAGGGGTTAAATTATTTTTCTGCACTGCACTTTTGCGGGGTATAAGAAAAGTAAACATAGCGAACATAAGAAAACAATAAACAGAAAACACTATGTTATCCTCAAATCATTGCAAAGTGTTTATGATCTATAGTTTCAGAAAAAAAAATCGTTTAATTAAACAAGGATTCTAGGTTATATTGGTAACTTACATATTCCACAATATTTTGCACAATTATATTTCGCAAAGTCTGCATATCTTGTACAAAAGCCTTCTTCAAACTTAGAACAATTCACAAGTCTATCTGTACAGCGCCATTCTGAAATGTGATAAAGAAGTATCACTGGTTCATAAACATTTATCATGAGGCACCGCTTCCTGTGACCTTCCTATTCGTTTAAAACGGAAAAATGACAAACATTTCCGGAAAATGACGAAACTTTAGGGACAATGAGGAAAGATTCCGGAATTATACGAGCTAGTCTTAAAGTGGCATTATGTCCATTTAATGGTGTAAAGTTAATAAACAGGTGAAAGTCAGAAAATTTTTATATTTTGTCATAATTCTTTCCAATTCTATAATTCACTTCGCATTCATGAACGAAAAAATAAATCACGTGGAACAAGGAAATTTCTATTGACATATATTAGAATTTATCTGTAACATTCAATTTATATAAAGAGAAAGCAGTTTTCTTTAATATTTTAGGCATATTTTTATTTCATATTAAACATTTTTCGAATATCAGCTGCTGGTTATTCATTATTATAACAGTCAAACTATTTATAAATATGTAGTCATCTCAGTTCAACTTCACAATGAAAAAATGAGCGCAATGTCATTTTAATGAATGCTAAAGGGAAAGTGTTTACATCTGATATATAGAGGATATTGAATGAATGTAAATTTAATACCCAATTTATTGGAGGAGTTGGATAAAGCCATATTACGCGAGCCTCTGCCAAGCGTACTACAGGTTGAATATAATTAGTATTACGCTTGCGCGAATTTAAAGACCGCCTCCGATGTCGAGGGGTTAGAGTCGATGACTTCTAATCCAGTTACCTCTCTGGCGTGGGTTCGATCCCCGGGAGATGCTTTAGTAGTTTAGCACGGAGGAAGGTATTCTAGTACTGGTGTATCTCTCCGGGAACGATGGTTAGGAAACTACCCGCCTATATGACTGAAACACTGTTGGGAACTGTTGGGAAAAAACGTAAAATGAAAAACAAAAAAAGCCAATCAATTATAAAACTCTATTATTTACTAAACTTAAAAAATTAAGGTTACAACCTCAAGTATTTTTTCATTGACGTGCTTATATTGTAACGCTGACGTTTTGACACTTTTTATATAATGCAAATTAATGACGATACGTTGGTGATTTCCAGGAAATCTATTTTTAGATATTTCAAGTGAATTAATGAGGTAAATTCACTTAAAGAGACTGATAGGAATGTGGAAATCGGCCCGCAAAATGAATAATTACCCTCGGAATTGTTGGAGCCCTCACCCTTTTGGGCTCGAGCACAAACTGTTCCTCGGGACTATGCAGACGTTATAACACGGAAAAACGTGCGTTAGTCGTATATATAAACTACACAGGTGTAATAACATTTTGTTGTGTCGTCATATATTTGCGTTATATAAAAACATTGCGTTAAAGAGCGTTCATTATTTTATTTTAATTACTTCAATATTAAATGGTTGAAACTCTTGTTTCTGTAGAGTTGAATCCCTCATATACTTTGTCCACTAGAATCAAGAAGCAAGTAATATTTTCTTATTATTATTATTTTTCCTACTTTTTCTTTATATTTCCATAAAAAATACGCTTTAGTGCTATCATAAAAGGAAGCGATCATTATAAACATAATTTAACTTTACATCTCCCTGTTTTGATGACGTAACATGTGTCGACATTCTTTCAGTTTTTGCACGTGCTCGTTTTTAGCGGACCAATTACGATTATGTGTTTCCGCCGCGGTTCGCTCATAATTGGTCACGTGACACTCATAATCACTTAAAATCATAGGCAATTTTATGACTTTATATAGTAACAAATTTTATAATTGAACTAGCAGTTTTATTAACAGGAGTGAGAGGATCAATTAGGATATTCCTTGTATTTGAGAAAACGCTTACTCAATTGATTCAGGATATCAGAAAAATATCTACTCAACGTATCTGAAAACCGTTTAAAAGAATTGTTATCGGAAATGTCACGTCGGTAGCGTTAAGCTTGACTCAACGGCATACCATGCTTACATGATCAATTCAAATAAAAACTACATATGGATGTTTATTGAATATGCACCAAATATCAATAATTGAAAAAATGTATCTCTTTAAAGTAAATTTATAAGAAAACTTTAAGTTAATTTGAACAACTCTCGAGTCCGCATTTTGGAACTTCAAATTAGAAAACATGGTCGAAAGAAGACAAAAAACTGACACCATGGTTTAACTCTTTGTTTTAGAATGAAGGTTGCATTTGAACGGGACAGATGTATATTATATGTCTGACGGAAAAAAACTACATTTTTATTTTAAAAAATCCAACCCAAACATTTACAAATGGTTTACAAGTTTGAGCCAGAGTTTACCTATCCCCATTTATGTTGATTTCAATTTTCGCTTACCCGTTTCGTATTCCTTGCAACCATTGACATGTATAAAATCTGAAATAAATGATAAGATTCAATCGAGGCGAATCTACACTTTATTCCTTTTCAACTTAGAGAAAACATAATTTTCAGAATTATAGAAGAATTAATTCGAAAAAGTGTGTGAATATAAAAATGTTCTTTTATGATCGAGTGAAATCAATAAGGAAAATATGAGTAAATAAGTATAAACACACACCCCAATTAAAGGTCGCCTCCGCAACTGTGCCCATCATTGAAACATTTGTGATAGAGGCTTTCGTTGAAATTCGTAAAACATTGTCCCGCGTGGAACCTTGAACACATTCGGTTTCGTTGTGATAGCCAGTTCCAAGACAAAACATACTATTAACTTGCCGGAACCAGAAAAACGACATGTCTGATGTACAGCTGATACCTGCGTCTTTGTTGAAACTAAAATATTATAAATGTTTAATGTGATTTCACTGACTTTTAGATTGTAAATGAACAAGCGAATGAATTTAAAAAGAAATTCATCCAAAAATTAAGGTGACATGACAGGAAAGAACACTGGAATTTCATTCTCACGAAATGCGTCGAAAATGCAACGGGCGGTTTAAACAACGAACAAACAAACAAACCACAAACAACAAATGTTATATTGACTTATGAAAATTGTTCTGTCTCAAGGACACTTTTAACGATACACCAATCGATAAAAACAAATACCGGATTAAACACATATAAAATAGATTAAAACTAAGAACTGAAAATGTGACCACAGGACACGGATGCCCGAATATTCCATTGCTTTGTCAGTCTACTGACGTACAACAGGACAGTATGACAGACGGACATACAAAGGAATTCCCTAACCCCTAAACGGTTTGGGCATAAAAGTAATATCCAAGTTTCCAATATTGAGCTGTTAGAATTTCAAACACCAATTTTATATCCTAAAGTATGCTTGAACAAACAAAAACATGCAAAACTCCAGATGCACAACTACCCGTGTTGACCATTCCTGGAAAGTTTCATTACTCTAAGTCAAAAGCACGACACAAATTGAAAGTTTTACTTAAGTCAAAAGCAATAACTCTACAAATACTTAATCAATAAGCAAACCCAAGGTGCACAATTACACATTCTGACCGAAATTTCTGTAAAGTTTCAAGACTCAAATCGAATCCTATTTGAGCCACAGGCGACTTAAATGAAAATTCCAAATTTTACTGTCAAGGGCAATTACTCTTACAAAACTGGATTAATCAACACGCGAATCCCCAGGTGCACAACTTCATGCTGATCAACATTCCTGTAAAGTTTGTTGACTTAGGCTCGAGCACCATCAGAGCTACACGTCACACAACATTTTGGAATGAAGGCACGCACGCACAAACGGACAAGGGCAAATCTAAAGTGCCACCTTCCCCCTCGTGTGGGGGTATAGATATGCTATAGGCGGGTATATATTTAAAATGTTTAAAGTTGTATAAACGGTTACCATATATTATCTTAAACACATAACTTTTTATCATTTTCGAACATATAAACTATTTACAATTTACAGTTAACATTTACGCACACATCAAAGAGCTGCATTTTTGAGGGTAAACCATACTTCGTTTCCCTACTTTTCCTTTGTAGAACTTGTATTTTTATTGTTTGATCGATAAAAGAAAACGAACATAAACAAAAAGGGACTGAATTGTCTTAATGTTCGTCTTCTGCCTTGCTTCGTCGGGCCCTTGTAGGTGATTTTCTTGTTGCTCTGTCTTCCTTTAGGACATTGAGTACTTTTGTTATGGTCATTGGGTTTACTTTTATATGTTTCTACATGATCATTTTGGGGTTTTACTTATTTAACCTTTTGTAACCATAACAACTGTTAGAATTTCACTTGGCGGGGATTCATTTTATTTACACTGTCTCGTTTATAGGAACATGGTGGGGCTAAGAGCGAGGTTTGGTGCACCATTAACCGGCAGTCATTATTATGCTGCTGACCGTTCCAATGCGGCGCCCCTCTGTGTTCCTCAGATGTATGTCTATGTTATTTCATACTGTTTTGGTGACACTTTTTCTTGTGTCCCTTGTTGTTTTCTCGTCTACGGTAAGTATCTTCCCCTTTGCCCCAAGTTTTTATTTCTTTGTATATCCCCCCCTACTGCCTATTATTAAATCATTTGTTTGTTTTCTTTGATTTCCTTATTAGTTACAAATTATGTATCATTTTAGTGATTAAACTGTCCGTGACCTGTCGCGTTTTTGTTTGGGGTCCGCCTGGGCTCCTTGCCACTGGTTCTTGTTGCTGGGTGGTATGGGGGCTGCGTTCATTGAACGCCGCCTTTCCTTGTGGATTTTGTTTATCATATTTTATGATCGTTATCATTCGTTTTATATACATGTAATATATAATTAAACCACAGATTTCTATTTGCACCAATAGAATATTTCTGTACATTGTCGTTAATTATTTCATATCGATATCTGATCGTTGATGTTCTAGCCATTATTTATATCGAATAGTTTCTCTTTGAATGTTAAAATTCATTCAGGTGTACTGAATATATAAATAAAGAATCAGTTGTTGCTACACCGGTAGACATAATATAATGCATTATGCAATAGGTAAAAGTTATATGAAAGTTAATGTGTTGTACAGTTAGATAATGATCATTGATTATTATTGTCCCCGGACAACGCGCTCCACTTTTTTCAGTGCTCGATTTTAGAATAAAACTTAGTAGAAAAGGGGAATTATTCTGCAATCGTGCTTGACAGACTTATCTACCATGATGGTAAATATTTTAGGTTTAGATGTGAATTTGATAAAATGTAAATATTTTGAGCAAAAAGGAGTTTCATGATAACCTCCCCCTAAGAAATGCACTAAATTGTCATTAATCAAATACCTAATGATTAAAGTGAAATTGTTTGATATTTTTTGGAAATGTACAATCCCAAAAAGGTTAACCTTGAAACTCGTATTCTTAAAATACCATTCCTTTGCAAAATTAGAATTTAATTAATTACAAAGAATTGGTCTTGACAATAGCTCTATTATTTTTCTTCAAAAAGTGGAGCTAAAAATAGTTAAATATTGACAACACGACACTTTCAACCGTTAAGATAAATAAATAAAAAAATAAATAAGAAAATAATAATAAAGAAATAAAGAAAAAGTGATAATAAGAACAAACATTATAACGACATAACCTGTCTCCAGTTGAATTTTTATCAAGAATTTCACAGGAAGTTTCGCATGAGGCTATCTGTATTCCTTCATTGCTAACTAGTGCATCTATCGTAGTTGACAAGCTCATGAATCGCAAAGTTGCAGACCCGCAAACCTGAACTCTAAGATGAAGCGCATGCTCTGAATATTTTTGCAAGTCTAGGTGATAAGGAAGGTTTGGTGTCGTTGTGCCTTTGCCACCTTCTGTATATAGATATGATAACGAAATGAACAATGATTGTTGCAGTAGTAGAGCTTTAAGTTTCTTTTTAAACTTTTAAGAATATCATTGCAAGAATATGAAAATAAATTTTCAACAAAATACATGGACATACTTATACACATATATTGTTCATTTCAATCATCAAGTAGCAAAAGTGTTCATTGGTTTATCATTTACCCTTTTTGTATGTCCTTGAATAAAGTAGTATTAAATGACAAGAATGTGACCATGGGATTTTGAACGGTTTAAATATATCAGCATTGTACAGACCAAATGAAGAAAAGGAACAAATGTTTATATGCTTAATATTTAGTTTTGTCTAGAGTTATGTCGGATAATTGTTTTGACTATTGTTGCCATGAATTCAGCATTAACCCTCGAAAATATGAATCATAATTAAAGTCAACACTTTGACTTTTCAAAGGACTGTGAGGAAATGATTCATAATTAAAGTAATGTAAGTTTCCTTCTTGGATCTGATATTAATGTCATCTGGTGAAACACGAATACTAAAAATATGATTATGTTATAAAAATTATATTCCTGTAAAAGATCATTGCAATTAGACATGCACAAAAATACATCAGCGACAGTATGGTGGTACGAGACATATCTAATATGTACTTTGTGTATTGACGATATTGAAAACTTTTGATATTTCACTGCCATTTTTCGTTCTTGCTTGTGTGTAGGAGAGGAGCAGTATTTTGAGTATTTACACAAAATTTAACATATTTGTAGTTTTGTATACATTTGCGTCTCTCCTAATGGAATTAAGACATTTGTAAATCAAGCACTGTAAGGTGGCACCGAACAATTAAGAATCTTTTATTCAATTATCCTAAAAATCTAATCATGTGACAGTTATTTTTGAAATTTTTATTGATTGCACTGCTGGTACAATTATTTTTAAGAAATCGGACAAATTCTGGAGTACCCTGCACCTTCACGGAGATGGTCGATTTCAGTATAGTTATGGTGTGATTTTAAGTCGTGCTGGTACACACATATTTAATTTTAGAAGCAACGAATGTAATCTTTTTCAATACATGTAACATACTTTTAATATTGATGAGGGACTGGTTTACTGCTTGTGTAAGAGAATTTGACTTTTTTGTATTGTGTTTATTTAACAATTGCTCATTTAAGGTCCCCTGACCCTAAGGTACGGTGCACAGTGTTGCATTTCAATAGGTAGAACGTTTATAATATATATATTTATTGTTTCTAAATAAAATCAAAACGCTGATAATAAAAGATAGAACACTGATTATATTTATCATGGTTTTTATAAATAGGCAGAACGCTGATAATTTGTATAACTTGTTTCTTTCTAAGAAGACGAAACAGAACTCTGTTTTTATCACCAATTTCTAAAACAGGTAGAACGCTAATGGTTTTTGTTACTTGTGTGTTAATACTAGATAAAACGCAGATGGTATTTATTATTTCCTTCTAAATAGAAAGAAGGCGGTTAGTTACATTGTGTTTGTCCTTATATACCTTTGCAGACTCCTCCAGGATATTCAGGAGTTTCAACAGGAATCGTTCCCAACACATTCTGTATAAAGAAGAATGATTTATCCTTTATTGCCAGACATAAATATATTGGGACAGGAAGAAATACAAATATTTTTGTAACACTTATGCGTGTATTATGTAAGTATTTCCAATTTTTCAATCACCAACTGTCAATCCAATCAAACAACAAATAGTCTTACATAAGTGAATCATACGTTTAAAGGGAAAATGGTCGCATAAAATGGGGTCATCTTGACCTTGTTAATCTTGTTTATCATATTAAATATTTTAAAGATAACATTGCTAGCAAGGATTTAGCTGCAAAACATTAAGCATGTTTTCTGTTTCAAAACATTTTTGTGCATCACTTTTCACATATTTGATATGATATATAAAACGTTTTTCGAAAAATAAAATAAAGGTTTATAAATCAAAACAAGTGCAACATGGATTTTGATTTCAACAAATTCTTATCAAATACGCTCCTATTCCGAAAACTAGACAGGAATTAGGAATTCTAAGTGCATTTCGTTTCTAGAAAAATTACTTTCAGTTTTAAGCCGCCTCCGTGGTCGAGGGGTTAGAGTCGATGACTTCTAATCCAGTTACCTCTCTGGCGTGGGTTCGATCCCCGGGAGATGCTTTGGTAGTTTAGCGCGGAGGAAGGTAGTCTAGTACTGGTGTAACTCTCCAGGAACGATGGTTAGGAAACTACCCGCCTATATGACTGAACTACTGTTGGGAAAAGGCGTAAAATGAAACAAACAAACAAACAAACTTTCAGTTTTATAATTGGTTTAATTAAAGAACATCTATTCCATTGCAGTCAAGAAAAGATAATGCTTATAAGTGAATGAGGGGCATATTTTAATAAGTGGCAGTGTGTTTTTATAAATAAGTCATAGTTGAGCTCTTCAAAATGTTCACCTTGGACACCTACACATACTACCAATTCAAAATCCATTCTAAAAAGCATTTTTCAACTCTTCTTTTGGTCTACTTTGTATACACTGGTAGGGACTGGATCAGACAGCACTACGGGTTTTTAATCGGCGGCAGCGAAGACACGGATCGCTGTTCCATCACTGTCACAGTATAGACCGCACTCTTTTAACGTTCCTGATACTTAAAGCAACAACTTGGTGATCGTTGTTTTCACCTACCCACATTTTGTTACAAAGTTAATTTTGTTGTCGAACACAAAAAAGCAAAGTTCCATCCCCTGTGACAATTTCTCTCAGGTGTCTAGGGTCTCGATCTTTGAACCTAGTCAATATGGTAGAGGCTTTTTCAACCCGCATCTTTTACTAGTCAAAAGTTAGCCAATGCGGGATTTAAGGCCGCACACTTTCCTTAACTTTACTTTTTCTTTCAAGATGGAAAACATATATGACGCATATGTCTCGATATGTCACCAATCTCTTGAATCTGCATCAACAAAAGCTTTACACGTACAGATTCAATCAAACCGAGTCTGCAAATTTCATGTAATTATGCGTTTTCTAATGATTCCGAGGGATCACGAGGTAGCGGAAATTGGGCGCCTAGGGAGGGGATCATCCTTAACGCTAGTTCTACCTTCCATTAACAGCGTTAAATACTTGTCATTACAAATTACATTATAAATTATAAAATATCACCGATACACCATGTTCGTCGTTACCAATTCTTCAAAATATTGAAATTGAAACTTTTCAGTATACATCAAACAAACTTCTAAATAAATAAACTTACAGTATTTTAAAAATGTCAAAGACAATAATTGTAAATAATATCTTTCCGTTTTGTCTAGAAAATGTCCGCTTCACTGGCGTTTAATTTTGCAAGACGTCATAATTGCTACTTTAAATAGCTTTGATATATTTTTTCTTCCTTATACTAAAATCATTGAAATCTTCCTGGGTATAAATACGAAGGTGCGTTATTTTTTGGTAACAGGAAGAAAATGACAGTCTGTTCATTTGATCATGACTGAGATGGAAATCATAATTATCCTGTCGATAAAGATTTTGCAAGCAATCTTGTGTACCTCTCTTATTTTTTAGTGCTAACACTTAGTATTTATTTCCAAAGAAAATATTTCTTAGGGACCTTAAACGTTTGATAACAGTATAATCACTAGAACTGAAATACTTTGGAATTAATTGTAATTCCTGTAACTGTGACATTTTTCGTTCATGTGTTTAAAATACTAGAGTAGCTCTATTCAAAACGATATCCAGTATTTTCGAAACAATTTACAAAGGCTTTTGATACACTATCTCATAAATCTAAGTATTACGAGTACCACCCACCTAATCTCCAGAGCATACATACGAAAAAGAAGATCAACAAGGAATGGTAGCATTCAATGAACGCAACACCCACATGACCAAGCAACATATGGCCACAGCTAACTTATCAATGAACACTTTTATTTCAGGCTTTCAAGTGGAAAATGAAAAGACAAAAGAAAAGAAAAACAGAAAGAAAAAAGAGATAAAAGTAGGGTTAAAAAAGACGAACAGTGCTATAAGACAGGAAAAGTAGGTAACTTATTTATGCAATCAAATGCACCTGATCAATATTTATCCATTGCTTTTTTTGAAACCAGTCACTCGTGTCTTAACAAGATAGTCGGGAAATGAACCTGAACTTTGAACTGGTCCTTCGGGATCATTGATGCTAACACTATAAAGTGTTGAGAATTGAGTACCGCTCAAGCCGGTGCTAGGGGGCGTGAGGGATGTTGCATTTATTCATTATCCCTCATGTACAGACTCAATCAAACCGAGTCTTCGATTCTCTTGTAATTTTGTTGTGATTAATGCTTCCGAGAGATCACTTTGTTTCCACAATTTTATGCTTCACAACAGCAGGTGTCAAGTGCTGTGTGGCAGCTGTAAAAAGATGCCCCGTACTTCACTTCAGTGTTGTTATATTTTCTGGTCCTTCGGGATCATTGATGCCAGCACTATTAAGTGTTGAGAATTGAGGACCGCTCAAGCCGGTGCTAGGGGGCGTAAGGGATGTAGCATTTATTCATTATCCCGCATGTACAGACTCAATCAAACCGAGTCTTCGATTATCTTGTAATTTTGTTGTGATTAATGCTTCCGAGAGATCACTTTGTTTCCACAATTTTATGCTTCACAACAGCAGGTGTCAAGTGCTGTGTGGCAGCTGTAAAAAGTTGCCCCGTACTTCACTTCAGTGTTGTTATATTTTCTGGTCCTTCGGGATCATTGATGCCAGCACTATTAAGTGTTGAGAATTGAGTACCGCTCAAGCCGGTGCTAGGGGGCGTAAGGGATGTAGCATTTATTCATTATCCCGCATGTACAGACTCAATCAAACCGAGTCTGCGATTCTCTTGTAATTTTGTTGTGATTAATGCTTCCGAGAGATCACTTTGTTTCCAGGTTTTTTTTCTTACCTGCCCTTCACTTTTGTCTTGCAAGTATCATAATTTTGTTTGTTTCGTTTAATTTGAAATAAAGTTAGGGTTTAAAAAACAACAACAGTTACTATATAATCAGTTTTAAGTTTATTACACTAGTAATGGCAATAACCCTGCTATGGCAGCTTGAATATGTCGGGGGCTGCGTCCTGTGAACGTTTGACGTCGCCTTGTTGAATCTTTATTCCAGTTTTTTCCTTTTTTTACGCCTTACACCGCTCTCAATTTCTTTTCCACCGGGAAGCTTCAAATATATTTGATAACAATTAAAGTTCAGATCAAAATTTACCCATTACTAGTAAGGCCTTCCAATAATAAAGAAAGTTATCAAGATATCTGCTCAAGCATACAATTCAATAATAATAATAGTAATATTAATGATAGATAGTAATCTTTTCATCAACAAAGTTAACAATCTAATCCGGATAGATAGCAAGTATGTGTGTAAAAAGATAAAAAAAAAAATTTCAGATCTATTTAGCAAAGGACATCGATTTTTTTTTTCTTGTAGAATTTTAATTATATGCACTAGACATACCATACAAATTACTTACTGATAAAGTTGACGCCTAATTGTCCTAATAATATGGCTTTTGAAAGGCCAGTGCTTTCAAGTGCTTTGATCCGAGTTAAGAGGAAACAAAATCGTTTTCTCTGGAATGAAATTTTGTGTGTGGTGTGATTTGTGGATGTTTTTCTTTTGTTCGTTGACTTGGTAATAAAAAAGTTAAATTAACGTTGTTTTTTTTCCTGAACGGGTGGTCATATAAATCAAAAAGTGATATTTGAAAATAGGACCCATCACAACGGTCTTGAATAAAAGAAATTTTCTTAGCCTATTTATCTTCAATATTTTAACCATTACAAAATAAATACATTTAACATTTATTCATTACACAAAGCACTCTTCAATTTTAATATAGAATATTTGTGCAAGTTTCAAACTCGTTTGAAACTACGTTTAGCTAAATTCATCATTGTAACGGAGTACAAAACATGATTACAAGAATATAATGCTTTAAATATATTGTAATTGCTTTTGAATGATTTAATTAACAAGAACATATGTGCACAACAAGAAATTTAACAAACAAACCCATAATTTGCTCTTAAATTTATGCATTGATGGTTTGTGTCACTTTTGCACTTTCGTTGCTGCCGACACACAAAAAATTCTCCGTTTCGCTTTTTAGTCCTCCCGAAACTCGTCACGTGACCGTTGTTTACATTCAGATTTGCAAACTGAAATGTGTTTAAACGCTTTTCGCACGAAATTGGAGATAACATATGTTTCAAACGAATTGCCAAGCCAAAGAAGACATATCAATGTATCACTGATTCTGTATTAATGTCTTTAACACGCAGGTAACAAAAAATTATCGGTGTGTGAAATTTTACTTTTTTTGTGACATTCGACCGTACCTCAGTGGAGTACCTTTAATCTAGATTCATTTTAATATCCGACGGGCATTTAATAACCCACAAATTTTGCAATAATCAATCACAATGCAACTCGGTCATGTCTACAACTTGTATACATGTACTAAACAACTTGTATTTAAACGACCTGCTGAAATTTTATTGCACGATTAAGTCGTGCAAAAATAAACTGTTGGTTAGAAAAATCAATAATCTTCCAACAGGTTTCATACATTTACTTCCACGAGCAAATACTGGTGAATTCGAGTGGTTGCCACTCATCTAAATATGCCCCTCGTATATCATGTATTTAGTTTAACGTACAGTTTTTTAATATGAATATGTAATTGCAGACATAATTATTGTTTTGGTCAATGTTTGCAAATCTCTTTTGATACCGGGTTCTTTATCAAAAGTTGCAATGCTGAACGATATGTACATATGCTACCAAATAAAGAAACAAATACACAAAGGTGAAGAATCTTAATATTACAACAGAGAACAAGAATTTGAAGATTTATCATAATATTCAGCAGTTTGGGCACAAACTTACACGCAAAACCCTAAATAAAGTGTGAAGGCGACGCTGCAACCGACACCGAGGTTCCTTATAGTCTAGCTTAAATGTATTAAATTATAATAAAATAATAATAAATTAACACGTTTACTGAAATTCAGAGCTAGTTTCAAATCGATGTTGAATTTTTATTTGTATGAGCATTCTTTTTATATTATCAAGGAATGGAAATAAAAAATCAGCTGCGTCGCATCCAAAGTGTAGATATAAAATACACTCTTACCTCATTGTATAGAATTCCAACTGGCAACAAAATAGTCTGCCCACATTTAAGTATTCCGCTTATGTTAGACGCCTCATTTTTGAGACTTTGGACACTTTCACTGGCCTTTCCAAGAATGTTCCCTATAACGTATTTTGTGTATTTCATCCGTGAAGGGTCCTTTTGCTTCGCACACGACTCAAAGTCATTATGGTTGGCAGGATCTGCATAAGTGTTTGTGCATGATTTTTTTTCTGCAACAATATTTACTGCGTTTTATTGCTGGAGAACGGGTTATGAACATTGTTCTAGGAAACTGCTAACAGTAATGAACGCGGTTTATAAATGCGAACAATACATCCTATATTGTAACATACATTTGCAAGTGAAATACTGAAATATTTTTAATGATTTTCTTTGCATAAACATCTTAAAATATAACATGTTGGGGCGTGGACGGTAGTTTGCACTTGACAGTACCGTCCATAACAGGCTCAATCAAACCGGGCCTGCAACATGTTCAATTTTACCGTGATGGGCTTTCTTACGGTATTCTTATTTTCTCTATTTTAAGTTTAATTTGTAGGCTTTGATAATATGTGTGACTCATTCCAATATAAAAACATTTGTTTGGATAAATTACTGTCTAACTCATTTCATCAATAACTGGTGTTAATCAAAATAGGTAATCAAGATAACATATTCCCAAAAGAACATCTTAAACGACAAAATTGTAAAATGTTGCAGACTTGGTATCATTCAGCCTGATCACTGGAAAGCGCAAGTTACCGTCAATACACCTAAAATCGACTTAAGTAGAACCTTTAAACATGACAATGGTGACATGTTTAATTTAGAATCATTTGTATATGTGTTCATACAGGGGAAATGATGGTCAATATGACACTTCAGTTCCATTCCTAGGAAAGCGGCGTAAGGTCCCCAAGTAATAGAAAACGTGTGTGTGTCCTGAACGAAAATATCAATGAGCGAAACTAAACAAAATGGAATTTTGAAAAGAAAATGAGAGGTAAGAAGCCTGCATATTGCATACAAGACGTCAAAAGACAAATTAAAAAATAAAAAAAAACATCCACCATATCCTAAGGGTGATCATACGATATGCAAGAAGGAAAACTCGAACCAGCCAAGTTTGAAAAAGGTCAAATAGAAGGAAACTAAAAATACCATAAATAAGGACATACAACAATTAAGTTGTGCTAAACGATCTTCAAGGATCGAAAATATAACATCTTTGATTAATTATACGTGGCGACTTTTTTACAGCCTCCACACGGCACTAATATGGAAATAAAGTTTATAAAGTTTTAATTCAGACAGAAATAGAAAATAAAAAGATAACGTATTTTGTGAATAACTATGCTTATGCAAATTTTTATATGGTTTACCTGATACAATTTGAAATTGCGTGGTTGAGTAACTTTCCGGACAAGCAACCTTAAAGGATTGCCAGGCATTTTGTACTGATGGAACTACAGTCATACTTAGCATTGATGTTTCATCCTCTGTGGCGTATGTTAGTCCAGATATCTGAATTACCTAAAAATACAAACAAATATTACTTAGTACTTACTCAATTTTTTCAAAAGTTGATAATTACACTAATGATTAATTTTGAGCAGCAACAATCCGATGATGATATTTATAAGAAGAAGGAGATGTGAATAAAAATTATATGTTTGATAATAATAATAATAATAATAATAATAATAATAATAATAATATTAATAATAATAATAATAACGATAAATACTTAAAAAGACAAAATGAGAGGAAAGGAATAGGAACTATAAATTCAAGCAGTCATATTTCGATAAAAACACGAATGAACTGTACCTGTATTGGGTGCGAAGCCTGTATGTGACTTCTCGTCCCCTTGCTAAGCCGTCGTGTCACGGTCTGATATCTCTCTGTCATGTTGAAGGACGGGAAGCCACTCATGGTAACCATCGTGCTTGTATAGTGACTCACTATCTTCAAAATATCACCATATCCATTAGAGCCTAAGGTTTGGACTACAAACTCCGTCCCCCAGTGTGAAGAAGGCACAAGTTGTTCCATTGTATGAGCAACAATACCGCCATTAGTTACATTTCTTGAGCCAACAAATACAGCAATAGGCTTAAAACTAAAAATAACTGTTCCGGTTAGATCGTATGTGGTTTCAAGCTGTAAGGCTTCAAATTTGTTCATCGTAAAGCCTTTGTCCCTATGTGAGCGGAAATACGAAGATTTATTACAAATTGCTATTTCTTCGACTTTTTCTGGAATGTCGACAAAAACTTCTGTGTTGTTTTCTACCGCAGCTATAGCAATCTGACAATACCCACCTACCGCACAAAATGTAGCGACGACGAATTCGTACACAGTTTTATTGAGTTGGTTTGGTCCATTCATTTGTTGTATTGGAATTGCTAATAAGCCCTCTGAGTAGTCATCCCTCTTGGAGAAAACTTGTAACACAAACTTGCCGTCATCTGAATGAACTTCAAGAGACTTATTGCTTAATTCAGATCCATTCATAGCCATTTCGTGCTCAAGTGTTCGGATTTTTATTTCATTAGCTTCCACTGTCAATGTCTCAACTGTTCCGTGAATGTCTGTCGAAAGAAAATTGACATGTGTCGCCTATTTTAAAGGACAGATTCGTTTAAATGTTAGACTTTTTACTTTGTGTTAAAAAGAGGGTTAATATGTACCTTTTGTTAATTGTAATTTGCAAAGAAATACAAGGGAGCCTCTTAGCTGATATAACTAAGTCAGATTTTTCTCTCACATATATCTCTTCAGTAACCTGTATAACTATTTATAATAATATTCTGATAGCTCAAAAAAATTGAAAATGATTCTAGAACTATGGGGACAGAATAATATTTCTTGCTTATTTAAAAAGAAGTTACAAAGAATCATTCGGATTGTGAACATTGATATACTCGTATTCTTTAATATAATCACGGATATAAATACAACATTTATTAAAATAAACGCACAATTATTTTCTTATATAACTAGATTTTTTGCTTAATAAAATATTTGTTTCATACAAAGAAAAATATATAAAGTGATTCATGCAATGGTTATAAATACAACATTTATCAAAACTATGTAGATGTCCACTTGACAATTCTATATGCCAAATATCTTAGGTCTTGGCATTGTAATTTCACAAAAGAAAACTTTAATGTATTTTCCTATACACATCTAATTAAACTAAGTGACCCCAAGGACAAGACCAATTGTGACACGTGGGACATGACCTATACTACGAGCAAAATGTTTAAGCTCTGGGCATTGTAGTTTAAGAGAAAATTTTGAGATCTTTCTTTCTTTACAAGTCTATGTAAAATAAATGGCCCCTGGGCAAAAACTTACATAACATTTATCAAAATAAACGAACATTTGTTTCCTTATATAATTATATTTTTTTATTTGCTTCATACAAAGGAAAATATAAAATATCAAGTTGAAGAACACTGACAAAACGATTCATGCGATGGTAATAATGATGATTGAAATAAATAGTAAAACAATATTTGATTGGCAGACGTAAGAGTTTCAAATAGATGATTTAATAGGATAAAGTGCTGCAAAACCAAATACTTACTATTTATTTGTACAGATATCTGTCTTAATTCTTCATTAGCAATGATAAGTTGATATTCAAGGTTATCGGCATTGCTTGGTAGGTCTTGCCCTAGCAGGGCAATAATATACGTTGTTGCATTTCCATCTACAAAATTAATAAATCTTCTATCAAATTATATACATAATTGGAGATTCAGTGCTATTCATTAAATAATTTTTCTAACTCCACTGTTCATTGTCTTGCAAACATACTGTCACTTAAAAAAATTGTATTCCGTTCTTACAAAGTATTAACTTATTCTATCATTTCAAGAAAATAATCAATACAAATTGTGCAAAATACTAACGTCAACGTCACAATGTCACGCAACAAAAGCAATCAATCAAATTAACCCTTTGAGTCAGTATCACCGTCCAACTCACTATATGTATTTCTTCTTTTGGAGGAGGCCCCGTTAGAGACACAACACGTTCAGACTTTGTTATACGGTTTTCTGATGGTTTCATGCGCACACTAAATCAAATTTCATATAATTTTGTTGATTTAATACTTTCTAAGGGATCACCTTTTTGCAGATATCCAAACAATCTGGCAATTTGCAAATGTAGGACACATTACCTATTGCACCTGATTTTAAAGTAAGACTTATTTGAAGTTTATTATTAATGGCAATGACTTAAATAAACATATGATGTGAATAAAGGTATGCTGTTTGTCTCCCTATAAGAGTCGAACACTATGTTTTAGATCACGTCTTTTGTATGAGCTACATTGTCAAAGGTATATACATAATTCCCACATTGCTCACGTTTTTATAATCAACGATATTAATTGTATGCATGACTAAAATGATGTACAAATTCAACCAGCATGTATTTTAGATATTTTAAGTGCACATTAAAAAATGAAATCATTGTAACACATCTCATTTTAAATTTGAAAAAAAAACTATTTTTTAGATGATCAATAGTTTATATATCAATGAATAAATTATTTGTTATTTAAGATATAATTAATTCATTTTGGTGCAATACTTACCTGCAACAATTTGAGTGACAAAGCAGAAAAGCATGCCGGTGAAAGAGAACACCTACAAAAAACAAATATAATAAGAGACAAAAGTAAAATGAGTATTTTCATCATGGCAGCTTTCAAAAGAAAACCGTTTCATGGCAGCTTTCAAATGAAAACCTTTTTATAGCTCGAAATGCTATGTAATTCATTTGCATCTTAATAACTATTTCTATAAAATGAAAAACAAAATCGGCAAAGCGTTTCTTATTCTATATTTACATGTTTAAAAAATCATTTCCACTATAAATGCAAAATTCATACATTTTATAATATAGGTTTACACATATCAGACATTTGAATCCATACAGTTTTTAGGTAGCGGTGCCATGACATCATTTTGACATTAACGAGAATCTAAGAAATTTTCTTACGAGATAAAGGCTATAAAAATATCACCACTCTTTCGTCTTTAAGCAATAGCTGGAGCACGCACAGTTTCGGGTCCATTCGAAATCCAATCAATGTCTGTTTATATTTGGTATACATAACTATTTTAATAGAAATTCCTTTTAACTTTTGATACACGCCCGTGACATTTGCAAACGGTACATAACTATTCACATCGTCATTCTCTGTATTATTTTTTTTATCATTTTTGGTCATATTTGATTAAAAGAGACATATATAACATTTTGTGTTATTCATTTTTTCTCGAGCGTCAAATTACATATTTTTTACTTAACATTATCTTTGAAATTGGTTTAGTATATCATGCGTGCTGACAGAGCAAGTATTGTTGTATGATGTCAAAATTTTGAAAGAATGACACCAAATACACCGACAACGAATCACGAAATCTGCTAGCTGTTAGTTGGCTGAATATAGAAAATAATTACACATTTTGTCGACAAAATTGTCAAAATTTTTGACGTGCGCCGGTTGGCCTAATTTCGAAATTCTAAAAAGAAATATAGATGCAAATAGTGCGTTATGAAATTTATCGCGCATGTGATAATCACTCTAAGGTAAAAGTCGTTGCGATAATATTACACATAGTGCGATTGTAGACGCGATTTTAGACCCAAGAGGTTTCGCCCTTTTCATCACTATATTCATTTGAAAGACACTGATCACTATTCTTATTTGAATGACACTGCTGAAACTAAACAGTACAAATTCATTTAGAAAAAAGCATACATCATGTATTCCTAGGAACAATGTAAATTTTCAAAAACTATCATTCAATATTATTGTCTTCGACACAAGCAGTCATATTTGTTTTATAATCACGTGTCTTTGCATCCATCGGAAGGAGGAAAACGCGCATACAAATGTTAAAACGTTTACGCTTAAAGTGAGTATGCGAATCAAAATCAACGCGCACGTCAAATTTAGTAAATCTATGTGATAAAGATACAAGAAAAGCATTGATGCAAAGCATCAAAGGGCGTCCAAGCAAGAAATGCAGCCAGTGAAGATGGACTAGTAGACATATGATGACAAGATATTCTTATAAACTTTTCAGTGATTAATTGGTTTTTACCAGAATTGTATATCACTTATGAATAAGCTGACGAAAGACATTGTTCATTATGAACTTTGGTAGGCATGCTAGAGATTAGAATATAACTTGTTTGTTTTTTTCCACAGGAACTTTAAATTTTATCAATATTAACGATAATATCCAAAATAAACAGTGCAATGATAATCAGAATATACATTCTATATGGTATAAGTTTATTTATACTATATAGGGGGTATTTTTGGATATAAACATTAATAGTGTTGATTTGATAGAATTTCAAGTTCTTGGAACATACAAAATAGTAGTCAAAATCAATAGTTCTTTTACATTTTTGAAATAATAAAATACATATATAATATTATATGATAATTGTTATTTTTTATGGTCATAAATGTAATATCGTGATTATTAATAGAAACGGATATATACAATCATTTTTAATCCATTTGCGTAAGACATGATCAACACCACACTTGTGTGTTGTCCCTTATTATGTTATCGCTATTAGCGAAGACCCCATCTTAAGGTATCTGTTCACACTTAGTAACAATATGACACTAGTTATATTACCATGTTGAGCATAATTGTTTTATTATACAATAATTGTAATATTTATTTCAATATTTATTTTTTACATATTTTATGAATATTGTTCTCTTTTTCTTTCTTTTTTGTGTTTGATGTGCTATTTTAACACTGAGTTTTTACGTTTACTACTTTTTTTTAATTAAAATTGTAAAATAAATTTTAAGAATTCAATTGTCATATTGACCGACGATCATTATAAGTCAAAAATTAAGTTGAAAAAGTCGGTAAATTATGGTTAATCCTTCAATATTTTATATTTTTATTCTTAAACCATGTACATGCACACTTGTATTTTTCTTTATCATTTTTTAAATAATCAATCAATTGAATAAAATTTCATTTGTAACTTAAAATAATTCCTCCGCATCTTTATTAAACACGAATAACAAATAAAATAAAAGTTGATGGTGTCATATATAGCATAAAATGTAACTGTTTACTCAATTATTGTACATATTTATTGTTTTTATCTCATATAAATAAACTGAAACATGCTATTGTTGTTGGTGTTTTTTTCCGAATGGTATGTTTATGTATAATAAAGATTAATTTTGAAAGTTGATTTGTGTTTATTAATTATTGTAACCAAACTAAGTGACAAACATTCATTTTGAAAAATAAAACTTTATTTATTTGTAACGATATCAAACATAAACTCCAAAACCGGGAGAGACCGGACATTAAACGCCGGTTTCTAGTAAATCCCGGTCAAAATAGACCGGGAGAGACCGGGAATTACCGATAGGAGACCGGCTAATAGTACATCCCTCTTTAAAAAGATTTTCAGACTAGGTCATCATTCTATTTACAGCTTACGGATACATGTTCAACAATAACAAACCATAATAACCCACTGTGTACTACAAAATGATTAATAAAAAAACCGAAAGGCGCGATTAATTGACGGAAAAGATTATTTCATTTGAATATGTTTGCATTGCGAAATTCTCCAGTTGCTATTCATTGTTCAAACCCTCATACCAATCGGAATGATTGGCTATTATGACCGACGAAAAGGCCCGAGAAGTTGCTGATATCGCCACATCAAAAAGAAATGATATTTTAAGGAGTGAAAAAAATCGATAAGGACGAAAATTATTCTCAAAATAGTTTTTAGTTGACGGGTCTTTAAATCGATTCAACTTTATAAGAGAAATCAGAATGTAGTTCGCTGAGTTCCGTTTAAATGAGTATGGACTATATACTGTTTCTTGATATCTTTTATTAATCAACTATGACATCTAGAATGATGGAGATCTGAAACATATACATACGAAAGGGTAAGTGATGGAATGAAACAGTAATCATTGATGTATATTCAGCTTATGCATTAATACAGATTAGACGTTAATAAGATGGAGACAATGCTACTTACAACGTAAATAAGATGAAACACTACGCATATGTCTTATGATTATTGACCAATTTTGTATTACAAATGGTGTAAGTAAGAAAAGGGGAGCTAACTATATGATGTCCAAATAATACACCAGAGTAAAAGGGAAGTAACTAATAGCGTATATTCCTCTATCCCCTCCTGAGTCATTGGTGAATCCCTGCGAACAATGGCTGTTAAAATATAAGTTCTTCTGAATGCAGCTAATCTGCCATTGATTATAAATGTTCTTTACCCTAGTAACCAGTGATCAATATATAGAACAAATTTAATTGCCGCTTGCAACTTACTGAGTTTTCAACAAATAAATGAAATCAACATTGTAGACTGTATTTAGGTAAAAATCAAGCACTTCAATAATCACTCTCTTATTTTGATTTATGCCAAGGTAAACACAGAAATTTTAATGAACACTTATGGTGGGTCGGCCTTCTCAGGGTTAGACTGCCCCCCAGCCGGGGGATTATTTTGCCCCATTATCAACTGCACATAATCCTGTAACCATCCTGGTTTCACACTTGGTCTCTTGGAACGTCGTAGAGTCATAGTAGTGGTTGGTACGGCTGGTTGAACTGGTTGTTCTTGAAAGGTTGATGCAGGCGTATGTGTAGGTAATGTGGGTATGACATCTGAAGTAGAAGGGACCGGTTTGCAATCTGGGCTATTACACATAGTGTCTGGGGAATCGACAGGCGTGTAACTTGTAAGTTCACTACGGTGAACTGGTGAGGTATCCCTTCTAGTGGTTCTCATGTCTGTGTCTAAATTATCGGAAGTGGTTCCGGGTATCAACCGTGTCTGCATGAGAGTTGTCTGAGATAAAGGTGTTTTTGACAAACTCTGTAAATCAGTCGCAATAGTTCGACGTGCTGGGGGTTTGTACACGGGTGTGTAACGACGGAGGAACTTCCTGTTGCGTAGCGTCATTCGCCCAGAACCATCAGTTCGTACGGCATATTGGTCAAATTGATGGACTTCAATGATCTGACCTGTTTTATCCCACTTTAGAGGGTGGCCACCAGTCTGGTTTTGAATTATTACGTAGTCACCAACTTTGAGTGGTGGTAGTCGTTTGGTATGTTCACTGAGGCGTTCCCCCATATTTATATGTCTATTTCTGAGGGCAGCCTCGCGTAAAAAGTAAAGTGTCACGCCATGTATCATGAGGTAAGTAACGACCCGGAAGAATGGGAATGAAGTCTTTTACAGCACGTCCGAATACACACATAGCAGGAGGAAGTTTTGTATCCCGATCGGGGGTGTTTCCATACTGTAAAATGGCGCGCTGGAAAGCATCAGTGTTAAGTTCGCAATTTGGGCCGGTGTTGTCAGTTATCATGCGCTTAACCGTTTTGACACCAACCTCTGCTCTACAGTTACTGTGTGGGCATGCCACCGAAGACAGTCTGTGGTGTACACCCCGAGTGTTCAAGAAGTCTCGAGTTGCAGTCAAAGTGAACTCTGGGCCCCCATCTGAGGCCAGTTCATCTGGAATTCCAAAAGAAACGAATGTTTTTCGCAAACTGTCAATTAGACCAGTTGAACCATTGGCAAATCTTTCTACGAT